GCAGACCAGCTTAACAGATTTCAAGCAACACCTTTTCTTAAGAAAGTATCACATTTTGCCAAAATTTCTCTTTACAGAGCACAGCATCACTCATAACCTCAGAGGCTGATTTTTGTTATTTCAGTACTGAAAAGCCAAAAGCAAGTTAAGCCCTCACTCCTCTCTCACCTGTCATGTACACAGGCTAGTCCGTGAGGGGGACAGCCCTAATTCTGCAAAGCAGATCACTAAATGCCAGCCTAACCAACCCCGTATACGGTTCCATTAGGCCAGTGTCTGAAGAACTACGTGCTGAACCACACAGGACAACAGATGGCATACAAGCAGCTTCTAGAAAATGGTGGTTTTTAACGTTGCATAATTATTCGCTAGTAAAAGACTGACTCTAACAAAACCAAAAGGGCCAATTCTTTGCTGCCACACACCCCCAGAAATGTAACAGGAATAACGTCTTAAAGGGCATTAGCAAAGAAGTAGCATATTACATTGAATGTGTAGGGCTTTCTGATTAGGCACTGTAACTGAAGCCCTACAATGAGTAATTTCCTACTCAATAAGACTTGTGCAATCAATTAAAACACACAATTAGTAATGAATCCACCTGGAGTGCTAAAAGCAGGTCTGTCTGTTCTTTCTCAAGTTTCTGAGGTCATTTTATAATTAGCATTTATCTAAGATTTTTACAAAAATTAACTAAAGCTTCCTACCCACAAACTTCCTTTGGATAGCACTTGTTTGTAACCAGTTAGACAAGGACTTCAATTAAACCTAAAAGCACGTTCTTGTACAAGTCTTGCTCAGAAGTATGAATTACAGTCCCATTAACTGATGGACAAAAAGAAAGCAGGGAACCACGGAAGTCAGGATGCCAAAGCAAAGGCCAGTGCCTTTGGTCTGGGAACTGATCCTATCTTTTTTTTCCAGTTAATGAGTACTGCCTATAAGAAGTGTACTCTTGTCTTCCGTGACACTGAGGTGAAAGTGATCATGAACACAGGGAAAGTCAGAATACTGCACAGAGAGAGACACAACTGAGGGCCAAAGCACGCAGGCAGACTACAGGCCTTTCACATGAGGTAGTTAGAAAGGTTTTATTAAAGGATGTACTTCCAACAGAGAAAGAGAAGTAGATGGAATGAGTGAAGACTGGAACACTGTTTACATTTAAAATCATCTGACCTATAGATGACAAAAGTGCACTGCTTTCCAGAAATGGAAAGCCCATTTTGCCAGTAGAAATTAGAAGTACCTGAATTGCTCAGCTTAAGAAAACAAAGGTTTAAAACAGATACGTTTGATCTCTGTGGTTACATGACTGAGGTATACTTGAAAGAGGAGAAAGACCCTTTTAACTGAAAGGCTTAAGAACAGAAGGGCATAAACCAGTTGCAAGTAAGTTTAGGCCAGAAATGAGGAAACATTTCTCATCAGGACAACAAGCTTCTGGAACAGCCTCTTACTAAGACTGCTAGGAATCCAAGTGAACAAAAAAAAAGCCACCCCAACCCTTCACTAAATAAATGTAGGCTGCCCAGCTGTCATTTTAAGACAGAGATCAAGAGTTGCTTATTAGAAAAAGTAAGCAGAATTGATGGCCAGAGATGTCTATTCCAGTCTTGTGTTAAGGAGTCAGTGATGTCAAGGTAAATAATCACTAAAACGGGTTATCAACATTTTAACAAATTTCCATTTGTGTGCGTGTGCACGATGACTATTGAGAGGGGGATTAAACTCCTCAAGAAACAGAATTGCTGTTCACTCTGTCTTTGACCTTCATTGGTAGCCAATTTTGGAACTGTTGAGACACTACACAACTGTTGAGACACACAGACACTACACAGAAATACCAAAGAATACAGAAATAATGCATTTTTATGTCACAGCTATGTGACAAGAAAAAGTAAGCAAGAAAAAAAAAAAGCTTAATAATCAAATGAAGCAAGACTCGCTTTATCAAGCAGTACCAGATCCTCTTAAATAATTTCAGATTCAAGAAGCCTTTTAATAGATTGGCATATTTCTTACTCTTGTATATGAATTCATTAATGTTCCTAAAACACTCTGAATAATAAAAAAATATAACACAGAAGACATCAGAAATAAAAGAGGTCCCTTAGCTCATCCTTCTTTCCTCTGCCAAGGCAGCCATACCTACAGCTTGTACATTTCACGGTACTTTGAAGGCTAAGAGGCAGACTCTTCCTTAAATTATCATGCAAGGATCAGGCCTACAAAGAGCACATATCTCTTTGTAGAGACATATTGAGCATTTTCCTACGGATGATGGCAGTTCTCTTTTTTCTAAGAGGCATCAGTTTTTCTCTCCTCAGTGTGAATACATTACTCAATAGGTTACAACTAAATAACCCTTGTACAAACAAAATGTATTCTTCCAATGTTAAAAAAAGCACTTTTTTTTTTAAATCCTAGTTATCCTAATATTATCCAATGCAACACAGTTTCACAGTAACAAACACAAACTCCAGGGATAACTGCTTGAAACAGTGAATCTCTGCAGAGCAAAGCTTCTTCCCTCCCTTCCCAGCTGAGAAACTTCTGGATTTTCTTTAGAAATGTTTGTTAGTGGAAAACACATTTCTGCAGGAAAGGGCATCACGAGATTCCACGTTGTCACTTCCAACTCCAAATTAATGCACTGAAGTTACAAAAGCAGCACTGTGAAAGATGAGGAACAAAAGCAACCAGACAATTCAAACGCACTTCAGGCTAACAACTAGAGCTCCCGGTCTTTTATAATTCAAGTGTGTCCGCTGCTCATTTGGTATGCAATGGCCAGAATACAGACACAGAGACACCCATACAACTCCGTGGCCTTCAGACTACGCAAATGCACTGACCTTGCTCCTTTCACACCTGCATTATTAATTGCCACTGGAAATCAGCAGACTCTCCTTGCCTCACAGGTGCGTACACTCTGCACAGGGAACAGGCACCGGTCGCAAAGTGTGGCTTTGTTAGTGAACGGGCTACTGGGTCACTAAACAGAGTTCTAAGCAGATCTCAAGTAAAAAACCATCATTTTTTCAGATGTCCTGTAAAGTATTTCTTCAGGTTCTCAAATAACACCTATGGGTTGCTGACAAAAGTTTCTGTTCCAACAGATGCCTGTTCCTACCGGGCATGCAGATTTGCAGCCTGAAAACTACAACTCATTTCATGAAGAGTGCAACATAAGCCCTTAGGGGTCTGACTTCACTTGTGTCGGATCATACCCGACCCTATGAATAGCTTTTTGCACCACAGGGGCTAAGGCAAACACGGCACAGTGCAACGCACTACTCCTAGGGCTGGGGACGACCCGACACAAGTGAAATCGGCGAGAATTTCTTCCCCACGCAGCTCGGTGGGAGCTGGGGAGCGCCCGTGGCGCAGGCTGTTTCCGAAGGGGCTGCCACCCCACAGAAAGTTGCGGCCGCGGTAGCTACCTCCAGTTGAAGTCGCAGAACAGCTCGACGTAACGAGTCGTTACCTCCCGATGATCCCACACAGGCGCTCCGGGCGCTTTTCCC